ACTTTTGCACTACCCGACTCGGGTGTCAGCGCCGCAGGCCTAGGTAGATGTATGCCAGGCGCGTCGCAGCGTAGCAGTGTTTCGTGAGATATCGCGAAGCCTGTTACGCGAGACGTGGTCTGGCGTACATCTACCTAGTATTTATTTGTTGTGCGGTATTTTGAACATGGCACCTCTCTTGGAGCTTGAACACGTAATAGGGTATCCCTCTAGAGCGCGGAGCGGAACTAAGAAGAACAAAAGCGGATACAGAGAGCGGTGGTGGGGGCGGGTGGTAGGGGAGCCTTCCCGCCCGCCCGCCGCTCCTCCGCGCGCCGCGCGCCCGCCGCTCTCTGTATCCGCTTTTGTTCTTCTTAGATCCGCTCCGCGCTCTAGAGGGATACCCTATTGATGCTCTCAAAGAATTCAAAAGACCTCTTAGGGAAGGTCGAGAAGCCATCGCAAACCTAGTTGTGGTGGGAATCAGATCCCGGTCTAAGGCCGAGGTTACTGTGGAGGCCCATTGTGTTCGTACAACAAAAATTAACGAAGATCCACACCGAGAGAAGCTGTTAGTCCGTATGACTAAATTTGTGTTGAAGGAAACAACGTAGCTTGGCTGCGACTCGGCACGTCTCGGCCGTGCGGCGACGGGAATCAAGCCTCACTTCACTGCCTCACCATCTCGCCTAGCACAATATACTAGATTGCCGGCCCTTCTCTCGCTTCTCTGCCCTTACCGAGAGTTGAAGCTGCTGACACCTTACTCAAATATACTTATGTTTACTTATGTTTAGTCTGAGTAAGGTAAGGTTTGTAAGGTATCATCTGCTAATAAATAGTTCTCTCCATTCGCACAGTCTTGAGCGCAGCGGTGGCGTGGCGTGGTGCGGCGGCACGTCCGCACTGCGGAGTGGCTGTGACCTACGTCGCCGCCAGCCAGCCACAAATTCGAGGGCCCCCTCTGTGCTATGTAGAGAGAGAGAGAGAGAGAGAGAGAGAGAGAGAGAGAGAGAGAGAGAGAGAGAGCGGGGAGGGAGACGGGACTTTGCCCCAGAGACAGTCTTTAGAGGACTGTTTAAAAACTCCCGTATTACAGATACAGGTTTTACTCAAGTTTCATAGACAGTCCGCTGAAGACTGTCGGTAGCGGAGGGCAAAGTCCCCTCCTCCTCCTCACGCTATACATCACAGAGCGGGTTTAAACAGAGCAATTTTAATCTCAAATTTGACGCTTTAATTATTTTTAAAAACCTTTTGTGTATGTTACGGACGTTTCACGGTCATTGTTGACACCGAAAAAACAGCTGAGCAAGCCAAAAAAATAAAAAAAATAATAATAGGTTTCGCCATTTGATAAATTTAGCAATATTTTTGTTGTCTCACACTTTTTAGTAATAGTTTGCCGAGACAACAAAAAGATTAAAAAAACAATCAGCTCTATAGAGCAGCAAAATGTTTGCTGCAACTGCAAAAAGGTTTCTGATAGCAAAATTTTGTTGGGGGAAGCAACATAATGTTTGCTGAGAGCGAAAGGTTTGCTGAGGCATTGTGACAACATAAACTTTGCCAAGGGCAGAAATCTTTTTTATTCCTTTTTAGGACTGACCCTTATTTCTTTGTTTCCACCTTTCCGTCCTTTAGGGGTGGTTGCCAGGATTTGCAACAGGCGTTTAGGTGTCCAGGAGTGACACCTAAGATACTCTAAAATTTGTAGACCTCCAGCTTATTTCTTTCCTCTTACACAGACGACGGACGCACGGACTGACGGACACGTAAACGGTTGCGTAAGCCCGCTTTAATGTTCTTTAAAGAGAGTAAGTTTGAACTCTTTGAAGTTTCCAAAGCTTCATGGCCGCATCTACTGGCGTTGAACACTTCCAATTGTTGAACTTATTTACTGTTAAACACTTCCCAGGATTCAAATACTAAGCCAAACACTTAAAAGTGTGCAACATAGGGTTAAGAACTTGCATGTGCACGCCAGTTGCATACCTTATCACACTGTGAAAAATATACGTAATCCTATTTATACGAAGTATTTTGTAAATTATCCATAACAATTCGTGTCGTACGTGTACAACCGCCCACTCTTCCTCGTCATTCGAGACCAAGTCGATTTTCATCAGTTCTAGTAAATACACAATTTTAAACATGTAAGACTGCTTTGATGAAAATTTTCGTGTCCCCGACACGACAATTTTTCACTGTGTATGAATGTCCTGTTGCCTCGTGCAATATGTATTACTGTGCATTTCTTTAAGTTACTCGTAGTACCTTCCAGGTCCTTCATGCGTTCTACTACCTGTGTGCCAATGACGACAGGTCTCTTGTTCGTTTGGGTGTGCCTATGCTCCTCCATGTTACGTGTTCCGGTCGCTTCAGGGGCTCAAGGCGTAAGTTGAATGTGAACAAATAAACAGTTGAATGTAAACAATAGGGTTTCCAGGCAATCTAAAGCGGAAGTAGGAAAAGAACAAACCCACTGACCTTTCTGTTTACGTAATGACTCTGATTGGTCGAGCTTATCACGTGCCTCCGAGGCCTTTCAGGTATGAGAAACTGTCAGATCAGTTTCGAGCTCCTCTCCATATTTGAGAGGTTAGGATCGGACCAAACTGCCATGGTAGTTTCTCATACTGGGCGGATGGAAACAGATGAATCAGGGAGTTTGTTCTTTTTCACTTCCGTATGAGATAGCCTGGAACATCCTATTATTGGCTGAGCGATTAGCAAAGCCTATTACTCCGTCTGGTCGGAAAAAACTTTTTCTGTCTGTCTGTCTGTGTGTGTGTCTGTCCGCACGATAACTCGAGAACGATTTGAGCGAGCGACTTGGGATTTTCAGGGTCGTTTTGTGTCATAAAAAGACAGATCGAGTTCGAAGATGAGCATTCTAGCCCACAAGTTGGATTTTTAAAAAATTGAAAACAACTGGTCCCAAAAATTACGTTTTTGAAAAATATTTTTTTTATGGTTTCCTAAGGGGTAACTTGTCAAAGTAGAGCCCTCTGGGCGAAAATTTTGTCCGTTTTGCTCTAGCTCACGCCGTTGAGGCGCTAGATGGTATTTTTGACGAAAATAAACGAAAAAATGTACAACTCTGCATGCTTAGTCGAGGTGATTGGCCGTTGACGGACCATAGTCCCGTACCTTGGTGTACATTTTCCCGCTACCCGACTCGGGTGTCAGCGCCGCAGGCCAAGGTAGATGTATGCCAGGCGCGTCGCAGCGTAACAGTGTTTCGTGAGATATCGCGAAGCCTGTTACGCGAGACGTGGTCTGGCGTACATCTACCTTGTTGTTAACTGCGAAACGAACGAACGGTTAGAGATGTTAGAGCTGTGAACCGGAAGAAGGTGATAAGTGACTTACCCCCCGAATACAGCATTCCGGCAAAGCTGAAATGCACAAGAATGAGGGGAAGAAGAAAACGGAAATCGCTATTCTTTAACATGATGACTTCTGTTTTCTTGTTCCCTGCATTCGTCTGCATTTCAGCTTATGTCGGAATTCTGTTTTGAGTTACGTATGGCACTATAAAGTAAATTGAAGTCTGTATCTAATCAGCGTCACCACACTGCCAATCGATCCCGCCTCCCAGCCAGTAAGGGCCAGTGCAACGCCTTAAATAGTTAGCTGAGCGATTAGCGTCGCGAAGCGCATTACTAAACTGACCGAAAAACCTTCATTCTGTCTGTCTGTCTGTATGCACGATAACTCGAGAAGGGATTGAGATAGCGATCTAGGAATTTTAGGGTCGTATTTTATTACCAAAAAGACCGAGTTCGAAGATTCTAGCTCAAAAATAGAATTGAACAAAAAAAACAAAAACAAAGGTCGAAAATGCATCTTTTATCGGGTTTTTTTATGGGTTTCCAAGGGCAACCTCGTAGAAGTAGAACATGTTGACCGAAAATTTCGTCCGTTTTGCTCTATATCGTGTACCATTTGGGTGCTAGAGATCATTTAATGACGGAAATGAGGTGAAAATGACCAAATGGTTAAGGATGTGCACTTTATGCTTTCGCATAATCGCATAATTTTCTAAACTTCACGGAAATGGACCGGGGATCGACTGGTTAGCTTTGCTGTGACCCCCGGACGCGAATCCGAAGAGCATAGAAAACGCATAATTTCCAAAAATCGCAGCATAGAGCCATTTTCGCATAATTTGAGCATAATTGCAAGGGAAAGGCGTGAAAACGGCTGCATTTTGCAATGTTTATGATATTTCACGCATTTTACCGCCAAATTTGGATGCAAAGTTTGAATTTTCGCGGTTCCGCGACCCTCAACGTCACGGCTGCGGGGAGGGGGGAAGGGACCCTAATCAAGCTACAGTATGTAGTATCTTATTAAGTCTAAAATTCTACACATAAAATGTGACTAGTCTGAATAATTTTGATCTTTTCCTTTCATACCCCATACCTTTATCACTGCTAATGTTTAGAATACATTCAAGTACATGCAAAAAAGCATAAAAACGCATAATTAAGAAGAAAACGCCAAAAATCATTAAAAAAAAGTATATTTTGAAAAAAAGCGCCAAGAAAAGCAGTAAAATAGCATAATTCAGAAGAAAACTCAGCATAAAGAGGGCATAATTGGAAAATTTTACAGCATAATCAGAGCATAATAGGGACGTTTTTTAGGGCATAATTTACGGTTTGAAAACGCATAAAGTGCACATCCTTACAAATGGTCTATTAAATCGTAAAAAAGGCTTATATCGAAAAATTGTCAAGGGGGTAGTACTTCGACCACCTATTTGGCGTCAAACTACACCACCCGGGGTACCTCACTTCGTCCAATCAATGTACGGTCTAACAAGCAGGCCCGCCCTTCCGCCAAACGAAGTTG